ATCCTAATCCTTAGGGGATAGGAATACTATCTTTGACCAAGATGTTTCCAGAGTTATTGTTGTATTTGCTTCCTCGTTTTAATTTAGGTAATGATAATGTCCAATCTATTGATAGAGAAGGAAAACACAGTGGTAAAAACAAAAACTTTCAAGAGCTTCTTACTTGTTCAATGTTATAACCACTAGAAAGGGCAGCTAAATATCCACCAACAAAGGTGCCGGCAGGGAGCAGATACAGGTAATTGTATTCTGGGGGATCAGTGGGTCGCTTGAACATGTCCAGCATTCTCTGAGTCACCAGAAAGCCACCTTATCAAAGCAAAGGAAACATAACATGAAAAGAGGTATATCACTAGGCTTATGAAAAATGACTTATTTTAATGCTATAATTTTTCTACTTTAAGTGCATTATTATCATTTAGGTAACATTTTAAAACCTCAAATTAAGTCATTGAGTTATTCAAGCCAGTTCCATTGGTGTGGGGGTGGGGGTGAGGGGGACACTAAATACACTTAGAAAGAAAACTTGCTAGCAGAATGCAAATCCAACCATTTCTGCATGACTATTTACCAGGGGAAACAGCATTCAAAAAGCTTGGGAATGCAAAAGATCCAAGGTCAGTATTTTTTTCTAATAGGTTATTCTTGTTTGCTAAACCCTGTAATAAATGATAAAAGAGAAATAATGCCATATCAGCAGGCAACAAGTTTCTTGGACACATGAAAGAATTTTTAGCTACAAAACAGGATCAAATGAGTCTCATACATGAGTGATGTGCTAGGCTTTCAGTTTTGAGAAACAAATACGGCTGGAATAAGGCCAAAGACTAAAATTTTATCTCAAGTTATACTCATTTATAGATGTCACGGTGATAGCTCTATGTCAACTAAATTCAAAACTATGAATTCAGTAACTTTCCAGTTAACTTGTAGCAAGACATCGCTTTGTTTGTTTGGGTGCATGGGGTAGGGGAAGTTGCTCTTTTATCAAAAGAGTTTCTAAAAATTATAGATGGGCAAAATAACTAAATTTCCTTCACAAAGAATATGGTCTGAGAAAAATAGTTCTTAAAGACACAATTAAATGATCAAAATCCCAATGTCTATTTTATACTGATTTATACTTGCTTTTTATCCCTCTATTAAAAATCACATGGGTTCTGCCACCACCGTCATACCTGCAATGTTGACAGAAGATATGAACGTAGCAAGAGCGGCAAGGCCCTGAGAAGTCGTGGAAGGATATAGATGTCCTCCCATCAGCGCCAACCCACCAACCGCAGTCAACCCTAGAAAGAACGCATCCTTGTGGTGAATAATTACAATGACACTGCTAAGTCAAATGTCAGTACTGAAGGACCTAGCATGTGTTGATAAAGGGGAAAGTTTTCAATATCAAAAACACAGCAGCTTTTCTGCAGCTTCGTTACAATAGTAAAAACAATTTTCCTGACGGAAAGCATTGACAACACACCTTCCCACCATTGTGAAGTACTGTTGTGGACAAATAGTTTACAAAACATCTCCTCAGGCATAAGAATTTGGATCTTGCTTTAACATTATCTCTGTTCTGCTAGTAAACATGTAAACCAACAATGTAATAAACAATAACATTTATGGTAAAAAGTGACCCCCAGTGGCTAACTTGCATCTGAACTAGAAGGAACAATTCACGAATTAGAAATACCTGATGGAAAAGCCATGGCTTCAGACTTTCCCGAGTACCAGAAACTGGGCAGGTCCTGTGCAGAGATCGTAGAAGCTATGTCTATGGCAATGTCATAAGAAGTGACTGTGCAGCCCAAGGCTTCTGAGCCAAAACAGCTTCCACACCTGCCCAACATCTGTCATTATCTTAGCCATTGCTAGAGGCCAAAGAGAACAGCTTGTGGCCAGCTGTGTGCTCTGCTGCATGGATTGCTGCAAAGACTCACACCAACAAGAAACCCCTGATGATGCCCCACAGCAAGCCAGCTGTTTCCTACCCCATAAGCTTCACGGTAAACCTGATACCTGGAGTGGCCTGTTTCAGCCTTCCAAGGCTGAATGTTTAGTTGAGTCTAAAAAGATCCCCTAAAGGATGTTGTGACTATGATTCAGTGAAACACTGGTTTTCAATGGAAATCATAATTGAAAGAAATAACGGTGGACCTGCATTGCTTGAAGTGGGAGCAGACCAAAGGACTGACACACTTGCATGGTCTCTTAACTCACATCCCACAACCCACACTCTCAGGAAACTCCTGAGTCACCCCAGCAACCACTGCAGATACCACATGAAACACTCTGAAAGCACAGGCTTCATAAACCTAAGTGAAGCACACCTAGAGCTAGATGAGCTATGACACCTACAGTGAGGGAAAATGAGAAAGGGACAAACCTGAGATTGCATTAGTCACAGACATCAGTGGTGAGTGGAGAGCGGGAGTCACACCCCAGACGGTGTGGTAGCCCACAATGCCAGCCAAGCCAAAAGTGGTCACCATCTGAGAAAAGGCTAGATTGGGAGCCGCAAGGCCCAAACCCAGTATCCCTGTGAGACCTGGAGAAAGAGAGCAAAGTTATGAGCAGATACCCAGTTACCTCAGTAAGACTGAATGCACACATTCACCCACACACAAACATGTGGAATAGTCAATGCTTTTAAATTCCACTCCTTTGCCCATAAAGCAGGTTTGTTAGACATTTGATAATCAATAAGTGCATGTGTAGGAAGGGGGCTAGGCAGGTAGATAGCATGGACAAAACCTAACTTTCTGACCACCTCCCCAAATAAATGATAAAGATCTAGTAATATTTATGAGTCACCTTAATAACAATTTGCACATTTTCCTCTGTGTAGTTTGTCCTTCTCACTGTTTTAACTTTCATTGACAATGCCACATGTGTTTCCATAAGCATTTTCATTCCAGAATTAGAGGCCTATAGAGAATCTACCAAAGCGTTTTCTACTTGGGCAAGACACAACCTTTATAAGACAGGACATTTATGAGGCCAAATTTATGTCACTCTCAAATTTGGCTGAGAAAGAGGGATTTTCAAAGAGTAGGAAGGATTTCATTCACTCCAGCACCTCCCCAAAACATATGGCTTCCACCCACCCGGGACAGAAGTTTTGCAATTGCTCCTGAATCTGGACTAGACTGCTGGCCAGGGCAGTCAGCTCCAGCCTCAACACCAAGTCAGCAAACAGGATTTTACAAAGAAAAGGGGAAAAAAAATACAAATTAAATTAAGAATGTGCAGAATACAAACAGTCAGTTCTGAACATACATCTTTAATTATCGCCTTCCTTAATAGCAAACATGTGGATGGCTGTTCTGCAACAGAAGAAAGGGTTACCTAGTGGTCAGTAAAAACAGAATGATCGTGGGTGACCTAGAGGGCTGAAAATGAACCTTCCTGAGCAAACTACCTTTTTTTTTCCTTGTTATAAACTATTACTTTATAAGTGGCACAGCTGGAACATCAGGAATTGACATTAATTTTACTTTAAATCATTCAAACAAACTGTAGTTTTAATTTATATTTTCCTACCACATACAACATTTTCAAGGCCTACTCATAGCCTGTTAGCCTCGTGAAGGAAGAGGTAGATAAAACATCGCTTTGCCTTCCAGCTGAAAATTTAAAAGGCAGGCCAGACCATGGCATGGTGATTAACAGCTGGATCCCACATGGCTGACTGAGAGGTTCGAGTCCTGGATCCAATGGCTTGAGAAACACACTAAGCACACGTACATGTGTGGCCAAAATCCCAAAAGGAGGGCAACACAGAGGAGAAACAATTATGGCATGACATTCTCCACAGGGGATGCTTTCTCACTTTGCTTCTCTTTGTCTCTCTCTGGGTGCATGCACCCTGTGTCAAATAAAATTTTTTAATTAAAATGAAAAGTTTAATAAGAGAAATAGAGTTAAGAATATGATTTCTTGGGGTAGCCCCATAGCATAGTAGTTAAATTTTGTGCCTAGAGAGCTGGATCCCAAATAGCTAACCACAGTTCAAATCCTGACCTCAGTGGCTTGAAAAACACACCAGGCGTGTGTGCATGTGTCCAAAATCCTGATAGAATGAAGAAATGAAAGAAAAAAAGACTTGCAAGGTAACCACAACTCACTGGCAGTTGTGTGTGCTCTCTCTCTCTCTCTCTCTCTCTCTCTCCTCCTCCTCCTCCTCCTCCTCCTCCTTCTCCTCCTCTCTCTCTCTCTCATGTATGGACATGCACTCTGGCTATTAAAAAGACAAAGAGAAAGAAAAAAAAGAATATGATTTCTTAAGTAAGAGTGCTTAGTTGAAATCCTAGTTCTGCTGCTCATTAGCTATGTGAATTCAGGGAAATTATTTATACTCTCTGGGTTTCAGTGTCCCATTATTAACCTTCCTTGTCTTCACCTGGAAAAGAAAATAATATTATGCCCACTTTATTGAATTCTCATAAGGAAGAATTAAACTAAAGCATGTGAAGTAGTTGGCACAATGCCTAACACTCAACTAAATGCCAGCTGTTACTATGACCACATTAGTAAAGAAGCACTAAATGATCAAAAATCCACAGTTCTTTCTATTAGGTAACTAAGACAGAAATCACGTCACACATCTAAAGATTTCTTTATCGACTATTTAACAAACTAACAAAGTTTCTGTAAAATATTTAACAAGGTCAAATGTGTTATTTCTGAAATCTGTATAACAGAAGAAAAGAAAGAAAAATAGAAAAAAGAAAATAAAAGCAAATCACATTCTTTGAAGACCGCTATTCAAGTAGGTTCCTATCATATAGAAGAAAAATACTTGTGTTTTATATAAAAGGAGACAGGCTAAGGCAAAGAAAAATAAGATAAGGTCATCCTTTTTTCATTGGAATACGTCACTGTCAATTCTAATAAAAAAAAAAAACAATATATCGTGACTCAACAAATATAAGAGAAACCTAGAAAAATAAATTTAAAATACCTCAGTATTTTTTCTTGTGACTCTCAAAGAGAAATGGAAATTTATTATTCTATTTATAATACACTCCATGTACAATATGATAATCTAGATTCTTTTTTTTTTTCCACAAATGAGTGCAAGTAGGGACACTGCCCCATCTAGTTACAATGTTCACAACTAGAGGTTCTTTCATTTTGCTGAGACTTGCTCTTTATTGAAGGAGAGTTACATATTTCGCTTTAGAACATCTGGTCTCACATGGGAATTTGGAGAATGCTGAGTCTACAAGAATTCTATGTGCCTGGTGCTGGACCTTAATTCTTTATAGTTTGCTTTTGTTTAGTTTTTATTTTGGCTCTAAGCAGATCTAAACATTTTTAATTCATTTTATAAGAGAGGAATCAATTTAAAACCAAACATACATATTTCAGCCTCTAACAAAAATGGCATAGACAAAACGAATGTTTACCACTTTACAATAATTCTTCAGTGTTTTCACAAGATGAATTTAAAAACAAGAAATGTATGTTAAATTGTAAAGAGAGAGATTAAAAAATTAAAATACTTAATTATTTTGCTGGGTAATTTAGAATGTTAGTCCAGTGTTCAACCCTCATACCATAGCGGTAATTCTTTGAGGCAACATGTCATTCTCCAGTCTCAACCTAACTGTGCAGAACATTGTAACTGATGCTTTACAAAGCACAAAAAAATTACAACTACATTTAAACACAATTAACACCAGCATAATCTGAGATAGATCACAATTCAGTATATGTGATATTCATTAAAATATTAATAACAATAATATTATAATGAAAGATAGTATGGCTCTACGTATTTATATAAAAGGAAAAGTGTTAATATCCTGTATATTAAGTCATATACCTTCATTCTAGAATTTAGCACAATACTTAGATCTCTTTGGGTAATAAATAAATATGGTCTCTGCATCCACAGAGGTGGTTCTAGTTGGCATGTTGGTAAAAAATTAGATCTATCAGACCCAGTGACTAAAAGGATCCAAAGAAATACAACAGCATTTCATTTCCTGTTTTGTTGTTGTTTAAAGAATTATTTAACTTTATTTATTGTTATTCTTCAATTTAACCAGAGAAAGACAGAGACAGAAAGACAGTCAAAGGGAAAGTGAGAAAGCAAGCCGCCAGCTCCAGGACTCAAACTGTGGTAAACCATATGACAGTCCAGCACCTTAACCACCATGCCACCTGCTGGCCCCTCATTTACCATAAATACATTATGTACAAAGTCAGACTATCAAATGATCAAAACTAAATTTTGATAAATGAGATTTTCACCTGCTGTATATACAGAAGCTGTTGTCATTGTCTTTCTGAAGGGTGTGACGGTAGCTGCTTTTTCAGCTTCCAACTCAGCCACTGTTTTCTGCTTTACTGGGACACCCTGAGGAATATTTTTCGGTGTAGGAGCTGGGAAAATTACTTCACCATCCTAAAAGAAATTAGAAATCAGCATTTTTAAAAAAGTCTATCTGGCATTTTAAAACCACTTACAGAAGACAGTTTACTGTTTAAAACAAAAACTGTTTTTAAATATAATGTTATATACATATATAAATTCATATCGTTTGTAATATTTTATAGACATATATAATATATATAAATGTATCTTTCTGTTATACATACATACACAGATATATAGACTGGCCAGGTATAAAACAAATGCAGCCAGATACAGATCAAATTCTTAAAAGTAGACAAGTTAAATTTGAACTACAGTGCTCAGAGTTGGAACCTTCGGGGAGTGATTAAAGTGTAGTACAACCGATGCTTGTGAGTTTACAGAGAGACACAGAGATGGCTCTCTTTGTCTTACTATGTTATCTTTTCTGCCATGTTATCCACTATCAAATAAGGTCTCATCAAATACAGGTCCTGAACGTTGGACATTCAACCATGAGTTTAATTAACTTTTCATCCTTTTTTTTTCTTTTTTGGAGAGATTTTTTGCTATAGAAAAAAACTCGCCAGAAAGACAGAGACAGACAGAGAGACAGAAAGAGAGAAACCACCCCCCGGGAGGATAGCCATGGGGCAATCCCTTCTCCTACATTCTCCTCTCGGGATCTTGGGCACACATGAACACATGCTTGGTATGAGGTTAAGCCACTGGGTCTGGGATTTGAACCATGGTCGATTACATGGGAGTCCAGGCCATCTGCTGGTCTCAACCTCTATTTTTATAAGCCCCTCAAACTTGAATATTTCTTTTGTTAGCCACACAATGGACTAAAACACAATGATGAAAGCAATTTCACTTAAAAATAAATAAATAAAAAGGCAGATAGATTAAGCATTTAGGGAGCCAGCAGGTAGGTAGTATATTTAAGGCACCAGATTCCCACATAGCCAATCACAGTTGGAGCCCCAGACCTCGTGACTTCCTTTCTCACTTTCCCTCTCTCTCTCTGGTGAGAGTACATGCCCTACAGTAAAATTTAAAAATAATAATAATAAAACTAAACAATTATTTTTAAAAAGAACATTTAATTTTTACTTTATTCAACATATATACATATATTCATTTCTGTTTTTCAAAAACAACATATATTTTCAGTGAGTCATACATATTTATGCCTTTGAATCATTCTGCATTTTTAAATAATTTTATTGGCATAAACTTGGTTTATATACTGTATTAGAACATATCTCAATTCTAAACTAAGATTCTTCCACAAACAAAAATCCTAAAACAAACTAACATTAAAAGCACAGGAAGGGTCAGATCTCTTGACTTACCTTCATCACTACAGTTCCCCTGATGACATGACCCATCGTCCCAAAGTCAAAGTCATCTTTCACTTCAAAATAAAAATTATCTTTGTCTGGGCTGATGGCCTTCAGGAGTTTGGTGATGTTGTTGGAATACAGGGAGCTGGCCTGAGTGGCCATTCGGCTGGGAAGGTCAGTATAGCCTATGTGCGTAACCCCCTAAATGAACAAAATTATAGTCAAAAAAGGTCTTTTACCCTATGCTCACATTCTGTGTAGGACAATTCTAATTCTCAGTCAGTGATAAGTTTTGAAATTATGTATCTTCATAAATTTACACACATACCCACAAACATAAATACACATTTCAAAGGGAGCTTTACATATGGCCTATTTTTAACTTGAAAAAATGTCAGGCCTCAATTCCTCCAAATATTTTTAAAAATCAATATCCCCCACTCAAACCTCTTAAAGATGTGAGAAATGATTCATAGGCAGAAGATGCTTTGTGCTATACCTTATGAACATAAAGTTCTCCTGGCTTAGTGGTTTCAAAGTTTCCGCCCGCCTCAGCAGCTAGATCCACAACCACTGAACCTTCTTTCATTGACTCAATCATTTCTTTACTAAATAAAACTGGAGCTTTTTTACCTAAATCAAAGAAAACAGTACAAATTATATTATACTCTTCTAAAGTCCTATATTGTTATTACAGTAGTCTCTGGGTATTCAGGAATTTAACATCAATTATAACTCTTTCCAAGAGACTCCTTAAGACCTTAAAACAGGTGAGATTGGCCACTCTTTTAAGGAAGAAATGTATGGAGTCTTCACAAAGTTTATGGAAATTAAGAAAAAACTTTAATAAACTGGGATTTCAGGATTTCTTTTTTGCACTCAAATAAACTCATAGGTTAATTCCACTTTTCTGGGACTTTGTGAAGTTCCCCCAGTATGAGTGCGAGCTGCGAAATGAGGGTACGGAAGGAAGCCATTGCACTACAGAGCGGACCTCGCCCCTGCACTGCATGGGAATCCCAGCACTGCCCTTCCCAACTGGTTTATGGCCAGTACCACCCAAAAGAAAGAAAAATTTTTGCTTGTTTTTTAAAAAGTGTATAATAATAAACCATTATGGAAACTGTATTCACTCAAAATGAACAATTCAGAAAGATCATAAATGTCAAATTACATTTGATACTAATTGATGAATTACAAAATAGAAGATTTCCATCATCTTAATAAATGTCACCAGATTTTCCATCATGTTCATAATTAAACACAGAGATCAAAATTTAACACAGGATAACTGAGGAGAGTCAGGAAAATACAGGTTAGCACAGGTTAGCCTTACCATCCCCACCTTCTGGTCTAGAGCCTCTTCCCTATCGGCCAGCCTCTGGTTTCTTACAGCTTTTCTTCCCACTTCATTGGCACCCTATGGTCCTAAATGGATAAGCCTTAAACTATCTTTTTAGATCTGGGTCCATACCTTCTGAGTTCTCACTGTATCAACATTATGACTGTCAATTTCACAAGTTTGATTTCATATCCAACTGGCTTATTCTGCCCTAAAAATTCTGGATTATTTCTTCCTTCTGAAACCTCTACAGCTAAAGCCAAGACTCTTGACCTTGATAAGCAAGGTATCAAATGACCAAAACTATTTAGGGTCCTTAGAAAACATGAAATATACATCCTATCTGTCTTCTCTGATTTTATTCACTCAGTCTTCACAAAACAATTGTGCAGTGGCTGACACACTTTTAAAAACCTGCATAGAGGACATCTGAAGGTTTTCTTCCCAGACTTCACCCTCCGGCCCCCCCAGATCTAGCCAGGACAAGTCAATCCCTAGTCAAATACATTCGACTTCTGAGTGGCCCATTTTAGGGCCTAGGACACCTGAAGGTTTTCTGCCCAGACTGTACCCTCCTGCCCACCCCCTGAACTATCCAGGTGACATCAGAGTAATCCTCATATTCCATGGAATCTGTTGTACGAAGGGAAAAAAAAGATACTGCTTAGAGTTTGCGGATCACCTCCTCCTGCACACCTCAGATTTAACTCCTAAAATTAGGAAAAAATATAATCCATCAGATGAACAGAAACCACCACAGAATCACAAGAAATACGAGAAGTCAAGAAAATCTCTCTCTCTCCCCCAAGGAAAAGAATAACTCCTAATACTCCACAGATAATACATGTGAACTTATGGAAATGTCAGATAAAGAATTTAGAATATTTGTAGTGATGAAGCTAACTGAGATGTGGAAGAAAAGAGACAATGAGTTCCATGAAGTGAGAAAGTTCTTACAGCATCTAAAAGAGGAAATACATATCATACAAAAGAATCAAATAGACTTGTTAGAGATGAAGTCTCTAATACAGGAAATAAAAACCTCCCTTGAAAGTATTAAAAGCAGATTAGATCGGGGACCAGCAGGTGGCATGGTGGTTAAGGCACTGGATACTTCCACATGCTTCCACATGGCCAACCATTGTTTGATTCCTGGACCCAGTGGCTTTCTCTCTCTCTCCCTCTCTCTCTCTCTCTCTCTC